CCTCACCTGCACCATGACAGCCAGGATGCCAAATCGAGCCAGCATTAACGGCACCAAGGGCATGATCGAGGTAACTCCTAGTTTCCGATCCAGGGCCTAAAGCAGTCTGAGGGGGGAAATTGTACCTGGTTTGTTAAGTTGTGGGTGAACATATCAGACGACACAGCAATTCTTCAAACAGCTCTTGTTTATTCACAAGCCAGAACAGAACTGAACTGGAGAGTTCAGCCTGCCTGCGTATATAGAGCTCCACTACAACGCAACAGTAACTACTTTCTGTAACTATCCAATCACTGAACGTCACTTTCAACCCCTTATTTCCATATGTGGACCTGAGTGAAAACTATGTACAGTATCCCCCTGCTGGCCCAGGGTGAGAACTTCAGTACATAACATGGTTAGAAATGTATTTTTTCAACCCTGACCCCCCCTCCCCCAATATTGTTGGACTACAACTCTCTTCGTCACTATGCATTGGCCAAACAGGCTAGAGACGATGGGATTTGTAGTCCAATAACATTAGGGGACCCGGGGTCAAAGAACTGGAGCCTAGGAATGGAGGCAGCCCTGTGTTGTAATCCAAAATGGAGTCCTTAGCTGGAAAGCAATGCCACATTTACTCCCATATTTAAGGCACTATGATACCACTTTAAACAGCTGTGGCTTCCTGCAAAGAATTATGGGAACTGTAGTTTGTTAAAGGTGTTGATAGGCAACTCTCAGGGCTAGAATTTCTATAGTGGTTTAACCATCTATCCCTCTTCCAGGGGAGCAATGGGAAATGTAGCTCTGGGAGGGGACTATGGGGTCTCCTGACAGTTCTCAGCATTCTTAGCTCCCGGAATCGTTTGGAGGAAAGCCATGAGCGTTTAAAGCTTCCTTACATGTAGGGTGTGTGAATATGGCCCAAATGTTGCAACAGAAACACCTTGTATGTAAAGAAGGGCATTCTAGGCAGACGAGGAGAAGGAAACAGGAGCTAGAATAATACAGGGTGGCGTTGTCCGTTTCCTCCGAAGGTGGTTGTGCGAAGCCAGTTTTGTGGCATAGGCAGGAGCACACACCCTCCCCAATTCTCTCTCAGTTCCCTTGCTTCCTGCCAGATTCCATCTCACTTCTGGTGCCCAACCGAGTTGGTGGTCAACAGGGAGAGAGAAGAGTTCCCCCTGCCTCCCCCGTCCCAGAAAATGCACTTCCAGAACAGCACCGGCCTGCGCTACGAAGCGGAGCATGTCCGGCAGTGTCTCCTCAAAGGTAACAGTTCGAAACACCGCTGACTCACTTTTATTAGATTGGCTGTGGAGAAATTCAATAAGCCACGTTTTTTAAAAACAAACTGGAGGGAGTAGAGTGAGAGAAGGGGGAAAATTTGCTTCAAAACCAGTCTTTGGGACTACATCCACTGGTCCAGGTCCCCCAGTGAGCTTCCTGGCCAAGTAGGAATTTGGAAACCTGTTGTGTTCTTTTAGCCTTCTCTCCTCCCTTCCCACATCTTCTAGGTTTGAAAGAAAGTCCGATCCTGACACATGCAGACAGCGAACTGGTCAATTCCATCCTGGAGGAAGCTCGCCGTCAAGTGGGTGTGTTTTACCCTCAGGACAAAGTGTGATGCACACTCCATTACCCGCCCTCCTGCAAAACCCCATATTCAGTTTCAAAAATAAAATTGCACGCAGATGGACTTGGGCTGTGGTACAGACATGTATGGCCAATAAAGCAGCTCTTGCCAATTTTGGACGGTGAGTTATTGTGTCTTCCAAGGAGGCCTGGACAGGGAGTGGGAGAAGGGACTGGGAGCATGGGCAAGGGGAGAAATTTGGAACAACAGGGCTGGGAATAAGGGCTGTGGGACATGGGGAGCGGAGGGGTTAAACAACAGGCCAGGTATTCCCCAGCTTAAGAAGGGAGGCAGAAACACAGGATAAAACTGTCCTAAGAAACCAGCAGTGCTCAAGTTGTCCTTCTGCTGGGTCCTTCTTTTACATTTAAGTACAGTGGTACCTCGGGTTAAGTACTTAATTCATTCCGGAGGTCCGTTCTTAACCTGAAACTGTTCTTAGCCTGAAGCACCACTTTAGCTAATGGGGCCTCCCGCTGCCGCCGTGTCGCAGGAGCACAATTTCTGTTCTCATCCTGAAGCAAAGTTCTTAACCCGAGGTACTATTTCTGGGTTAGCGGAGTCTGTAACCTGAAGCGTCTGTAACCCGAGGTACCACTGCAATACTTTGGTTTAAGCAGAGTGGGATTCCTGAATTTGCATTTAGCCAGAATTCTTTTTCCTTTTTCTTTTTTAAAGGTTCATTCCATTCCACTGTTTTAAGACTGAGAGCAGGAGAGAGTTAAAAGAACCAGAAAGACTGAGCTTTTTTTTTTTTTTAAGTGTCCCGCAGCAGGCCACACACATTTTTGTTAGGGAAATTAAATCAAAATTAAGGCTAAATGGTCCACAATGGACTGGGCTGTTTCCAGATGTCTGTTCATTGGGCAAAAATCCTGATTTGTTGGCACAGAGGTTATACATCACTTGTGTCACCTCACTTGTTCCATTCTGCATTCATCCGAATTAGCACATTCAATATTTTTACCAAATTATACAACATATAATGACGTTATATAACTATCTAGTGGTTGCTAGATAGTGTGACTTTACGTCACCTTTCCACGATCAAACTTTTTGCAGCAAGTGATAGAGAAACGTACAGGATAACAACCGCTAGATGGAGCTGTCTTATAACCACTGCAAAAGTTTTTTTGTTTTTTTTTTTGAGGAAAACGAAATCAAGAGGAACGCTGAATAATTCTGTTTTTTTTTATAATAATATTTATTAGTTTTCCAACAAATTGAACACAACACTACAAAAAAACAAAAAAGAAAAAACATACAATAATACAATACAATACAAAAAAAACACTGCAAAACACTAACATACAACTAACAAAACAAAACAAAAACCATTTAAAACACAGTCCAATTTCAATATTTTATCCTTCTTTCACTAATTTCCACGACCTCCTCACACCTCCCTTTTTGTATTCCACTTCTATTAATTGTTTCAGCAATTCCTTTCCATCTTCCTCTATTTTCTATCCTATAATTGTCTTAACATATTCTAACCTTATTTTTCCCTTTAATGCTCTAATAATCTATTTATACTTAATTCCTTATAACATTTCTACTAAAGCCATATAACTTCATTCCAACATTTTTCTAACATTCATTAATTTAGGAACGCTGAATAATTCTGAAGCCCATCTGTTGGTCACCAGAAAGGCAGCTGAGAAGGCACGGGGTGGAAATGTGTCAGGCTGCGAGAGCCTCAACCGCTCCAAACACCACTACATAAATTCCATACCATGTGGAGAATAAGCAATAACTTCCACACCTGTGGAGTTTGCGCTATTCCATTCTTTTCCTTTAGAAAAAAAAAGGTTCCTTCCAGTGTGGGGACAACACAGAACAACTGATGGGAAATGGGTAGATGACAAAAGGACAACTGTGTCATGTGGAAACACACACACACACACACGTGTAAAATGTTCTCGAATGAGGCATGATCATTCCACATTAAATGCATTGGATTGTGTCCAATTAAGTCGTTGTGACTTCCTCTCACACAACAGAGCTTCCTCTCCTCTCACTGGGTGCTCACCAAATCTGCCCTGAGAGAGCGGAAGGGGCTGGCGGGGGCAGCAGAAGGGGGGGGGCGTTGCACAAGCAGAAGTTGCTCCATGGGCTCAATTATTGGATTCAAGCCTCCCCTCTGCTGTTTAGTTGCCGTAGTGTGCATATCTCCCACCACCCTCCAGTTTAATTCAGATATACCCTTTCTAGAAAAAAAAATCTGAGAAACTAGAACAAAGGAACAAACCACACCCTGTGGCCAATGACCTGTTTGCCAATGAAGCCCTGAAGCACTCCTTCACAAGGTGCCCAGTTAAACTGTGGAACTCAGTGCCACATGAACACCATTTGGCCTGAATCCAGCAAGGCTCCTTTTGCAGAGGGGCCATAGCTCAGCGGTGGAACATCTGCTTTGCATGCAGGAGTCCCCAGATTCAATCTTCGGCCTCTCCAGGCAGGGGTGGCTCATCCATGAGGCAAGGTGAAGCCACTTAATAATAATAATAATAATAATAATAATAATAATAATAATAATAATAATAAATTTTATTTATACCCTGCCCTCCACAGCCAAGACCGGGCTCAGGGCGGCTAACACCAGATATAACAACAATTGATTGAAATACAACTTAAAAAATAAGATTAAAATACAACATTAAAATGCAGCCTCATTTCAGTAGAAACTCAAATCAAAAACTTTTGCCTCAGGTGGCAGATCTGACCCCTGACTCCACGCTGCCAGCCTGCCCAGGCTTTGCCCTCCCAACTGCCACAGCACCGCCGTCCTGACCACTTCGTCCTTGCCACCGCTGCTGCATTGTGGCGGCAGCGCAGGTGTGCCAGCAGGACAGTGAGGGGGCCCGGATCTGTGGGGCAGGGAGTAGCATGGGGGTGCTTTGCCCACAGTGGCAAAACATCCTGGGATGGCCCAGTCTCCAGGTACGTGTGGAGAAAACTCCTGTCTAAAACCCTCCGGAGCAGCTGACAAGTCAGTGTAAACGAGGCAGCTCCCTACATCCCCTCCAAATATCCCAAGATTTTCCAGGGACAGTCCCAGTATTACAAAGGCACCCCACCCTCAGATTCTGATTTAATCCCATAATGCCCCTATTATCCCTGATGGTTTTCAGAGCACCCAGACACAGATATTTAAAGCAGGAGCCTGTGCCTGGAAAGAGCAGGTCCAAAAGGAAATGTGGATAACTCCTTGTCCAACCACTTCCCACCCCCCAAAACTGAAGCCCTCTTAAGATACCTGGCTCCTGGAATAACCCCCACATCATACCTGTGCTGTCCCTTCTCATTCCGAGGGATTTGCTGCCCCCTGCTGGTTCTCTCGCTCCACAGCTGGCCAGGTGCCCAAGTCCAGAGTCCAAGCTTCACGCACGTTGACTGAGGGGCAGCGGTCCTTTCCCTGCGCTAGAGGCCACACCAAGCGCTGCTTGCCTTTCTCCGTCCACACACAACGCCTCTCTCTCTTCCTCTCTGCTACCATGACAGCCACCCGCTGGGGGATCTGCTCTGCTGGCAAGATTAGCCACGATTTCCTGGTGGCTCTGAAGACTCTGCCGCCAGAGGACCACAAGGTAATAAGTGGAGCACAGACCGAAGATGGATGGAGGGGGACTATTCCCACCTATGGAATTGAATGGGAAGTTCAAACTGGGAAGAATAGAATAGAATAGAATAGAATAGAATTTATTATTTATACCCCGCCCATCTGGGCAGCTTCCAACAAAGTATTAAAATACAGTGGTCTATTAAAATACAGTGGTCCTAAGGCACCTAGGACTCCCAGGTCCTCGTGAAAGAAGGGAAAACTAGAATTAAGGAGACTGGGGTTTCTGGAAGCCAAGATGCTAAATCAGGGGTGGGGGATCTGCCGCCCTCCTGATGATGTTGGACTACAAATCCCATCATCCCTGACTATTGGCTGTGCTGGCTGGGAGTGATGGGAGACCCCCAACATCAGGAAGGCCAACAGTTCCCATCCCTGTGCCAGATCACTGGAGAAGGCAGGTGGTTCTGTGGTTTCCATTATAGATGCAGAAAAGATACGACTTCAGGCAACTTGCGATTCGGAAGAAGGCAGTGGGGCTGGCTTTAAGGAAAGGGGGAATTTGGATTCCTTTATTCAAGAATTTGTAAAGCTAGAGGCTCTCCCTGGCCTACTAACTAGACGCTCCTCCAGATGACCTATTTGTTGAGCATTCATCCTGATTTACTTGTGTAGCTACTATTCACCAATAGCTGGCAGGTTCTGTCTGATCTGGGCAGTTGACCTCCCATCCATAGTTGCACTAGCCTGGTGGTTCTCAAACTTTTTTCTCTGGGCCACCCTTTCTCGTGCCACACCAGATTTTTTAATGATAAGGAATATGTTGGAATACAAAAAGAAACAACAAGCTGTGCTTGATTTATAAGAACACAACTGCTGCATGATAAGATTGCGGGACATTCAAAAAGTATAAAACAATGCAGCTGGATTGCTGTGGCTCCTAACTTAGCTGGCAGCCTCCCCTGGGATCCATCTGGCAGTGGGACAAGCAGTCACAGACCCTCCAAATGCCCCTATTTTCCAGGGACGTCCCTGATCTAGAGAAGCCATCCCGGTTTCTGTTTTGATCCCAGAATGTCCCACTTTTCCTTTGTTGTTGTTGTTTAGTCGTTTAGTCGTGTCCAACTCTTTGTGACCCCATGGACCAGAGCACGCCAGGCACTCCTGTCCTCCACTGCCTCCCGCAGTTTGGTCAGACTCATGTTTGTAGCTTCGAGAACACTGTCCAACCATCTCGTCCTCTGTCGTCCCCTTCTTCTTGTGCCCTCCATCTTTCCCAACATCAGGGTCTTTTCTAGGGAGTCTTCTCTTCTCATGAGGTGGCCAAAGTATTGGAGCCTCAGCTTCACGATCCGTCCTTCCAGTGAGCACTCAGGGCTGATCTCCCCAAGAATGGATACATTTGATCTTCTTGCAGTCCATGGGACTCTCAAGAGTCTCCTCCAGCACCATAATTCAAAAGCATCAATTCTTCGGCGATCAGCCTTCTTTATGGTCCAGCTCTCACTTCCATACATCACTACTGGGAAAACCATGGCTTTAACTATACGGACCTTTGTTGGCAAGGTGATGTCTCTGCTTTTTAAGACACTTTTCCTTAGGATGTCCCTATTTTCATTGGAGAATTGTGGAGTTAACCTACCCCTGAACCGTCTGAAGGCAATCCTGTATAGGGAAGGGTTTCTTAATGTTTTTATGTTTTTATATATGTTGGAAGCTGCCCAGAGTGCTGGGACAACCCAGTAAGATGTGTGCAGGGTATAAATAGTAAAACTATTATTATGGGATGGGACGTCCCTATTTTCATCGGAGAAATGTTGGAGGTATGCAGTCACAAGTCTCTATACAATGTCTAATCCAATCGACCGCACCAGGAAAAGCAGATAGGCTTTTGGCTTGATCCAGCAGGCCAGGTTATGTTCCTATCTTCAGATGGAGGACAGACAAGCAAAAGGCCCTCTGAAAATAATAGCTGCTCAATCTGGCCAAGCCCTTCCAGCAGAAGGTGGTCTTTCTTGTGCTCCAGTCCTGTGCTGTTTTAGGGTCGCACTCTTTTCCTCTGTCTCTCGCCCCATTCACCTCCCAGGTGGTGGCCATTGCTTCTCGTGAGCTGAGCCGGGTACAGGAATATGCCAAGAACCACAGCATCCCCAAGGCCTATGGCTCTTATGCAGAACTGGCTCAGGATCCGGACGCTGGTGAGAAAGCTTCCTTGAAACCCTGGGGACACCGGGAGGGAGGAAACTGCCTTGTTCCAAGTCAGACCATGGGGTCCATCCAGCTCAGTATGGTCTACACTTGACTTGCCCCACCTGGAGATGCTGGAGGTGGAATCTTTGGATCTTCTGCATGTGCAGCAGATGTGCCACATCTGTCCCCCAAGGGAGAGGGGAAATCCCCCTCTACCATACAATGTAAACTGGGTTTCGGAATGGGAACATCATCCAACAGGGATGGAGAAGCTTTTCCAACTTGGGGGCCACATTCCCTTCTGGGCAACTTTCCAAGGGCCACATACCCCTGGTGGGAGGAGCCAGGGGCAAAGGTGGGTGGAGCAACCAATATGCATGTTTACTTTGTACAGTAGAGCATTTTCTGTTGGGAATGGATTTAACTCTGTAGGTTTAGATCTAAACCTCCTATCCCACATGCATAGGAGAAATAGAAAACGTGTGCATTTGTGATTTTGGCTGCAAACACCACAGTTTCTACACAAACTCTCTCACCCCCTTCTGTTCTCTTTCCAAACAAGCAAGAGGCATTGTTGGAGTTCAAGGGCATATTCCAGCCAAGCAAAACATTGAAGGAGGGTGAGAAGCAAGGTCATTGAAGAGTGGGGCTTGAGGCAAGGGGGCGAAGGGAGGAAAAGTACCAAAAGCAAAAGGGGGGGGAGATGGGCAGGCCTGGAGGATCTCTCCAACCAGTCAGACTCTAGCTGCATACATTGGAGGCGCATTTAAAGCACAAGAATCCTGTGCTTTACAGTGTACCTTGGGTTAAGAACTTAATTTGTTCTGGAGGTCTATTCTTAACCTGAAACTGTTCTTAACCTGAAGCACCACTTTAGCTAATGGGGCCCTCTGCTGCTGCTGCGCAATTTCTCTTCTCATCCTGAAGCAAAGTTCTTAACCCGAGGTACTATTTCTGGGTTAGCAGAATCTGTAACCTGAAGCGTATGTAACCTGAAGCGTATGTAACCCAAGGTACCACTGTAAGTGTATGGCTCAGCCTCTTTCTCAAGATAAATGTTGACTGTGGCTGAACTGAAGAGTGAACTTTCCTCTGGACTTCCCTTTCTTTTTGCAGATGTGGTGTATGTGGGAGTGGTGCACCCCCACCACCTGCCAGCCACCCTCCTTTTCATCCAGGCTGGGAAGAATGTGCTCTGCGAGAAGCCCCTGGGCATGAACGCTGCAGAGGTCAAGAAGATGGTGCAGGCAGCTCGGGAAAAGGAGGTCTTCCTCATGGAGGTAAGAGGCAGAAGCACTCCCTGAAGGCCAAAGGGGTACCATATGGAACTGGTGGGCTTTGGACTGGCATCTCCAACCCCTGCAAAGGGAGCACGAGCCCCTGGTGTGGGGCGGCAGCAGGTGAATGTTCTGATTTGTCCTCAGGCTTGCTGGACCCGTTTCTTCCCTGCATTGGAGAAGATCCGCTCTCTGCTCGATCAAAGGACTGTCGGGGAAGTGTTAGTGGTTCAAGCCGAGTTTGGTGTCCCTCTCCTAACTGTCCCCAGGGCTGTGAAGAAAGATCTTGGTGGAGGCGCCTTACTGGATATTGGTATCTACTGTGTTCAGCTGGCCTGCATGGTTTTTGATGGGGAGAAGCCAGAGTCCATTGTGGCCTCGGGGTTCTTGCATGAGACAGGTTAGTATTGGGTTGGTCCTGGTCCCCTCTAGAGGTCAGTATTTTGCACCAGGGATTCAAGTGTATACCAGATACAGTGGTACCTTAGTTCTCACACTTAATCCGTTCCGGAAGCCGGTTCCAAAACCAAAGCATTCCATATCCGAGGCGCGCTTTCCCATAGAAAGTAATGCAAAATGGATTGATCCATTCCAGACTTTTAAAAACAACTCCTAAAACAGCAATTTAACATGAATTTTACTATCTAACGAGACCATTTATCCATAAAATGAAAGCAATAAACAATGTACGGTGGAACCTCGGGTTACGGATGTAATCTGTGATGGACGCACGTCCACAACCCGCAGCGTTCGTAACCTGCAGCTCCGCATCTGCGCTCGCGCGTGACGCGATTTGGCGCATTTGCACATGCACGAGTGGCGAAACCCAGAAGTAACCCTTTCCGGTACTTCGGGGTTTCCCACGGTCCACAACCTGAAAACGCATAATCCAAAGCGTTTGTAACCTGAGATACCACTGTACTGGAGTCACACAATCAATCAATCAATCAATCAGTAACTGAACTGGGTTCCACAGTCACAAAAACAAAGCAAAAAAGCCTCAAAAACACAAAATAAATAGCAAAAACAGACAGACCACAGTGTAACATGCAAAACAGAAGCGTGGCACTCAAAATTTGGCTTCCGAAAAAGGTTCGCAAACCAGAACACTTACTTCTGGGATTGCAGTGTTTGCTTTCCCAGTTGTTTGAGTACCAATGCATTTGAGAACCAAGGTACCACTGTACCACTGTGGTAAGGTCACGAATATAAGCCACACTTTAACTTTTCACGACCCAAATTTTTTTTTGGGGGGGGAGTGCGGCTTATATTTGGGCCAATACAGTACTTAGTAGAAAGGCTGCATTGTGCTTTAAATGTATGGTGTGTGTACACAGCCCAGTTTGTGAAAAATTGCCTTCAGGGGTATAAAATGTGCAAACAGGTCCAGACTAGGGTAGGAAAAACAAGATCTCAGAGTGCAGTGGACGCAGAATATAATGAGCCTAACACAGCCTAACTGGCATGTGGATATGACCACTGTTGCTTGTTTCCCCCCAAGATGTAGATAAAACAGCTTCAATCATCCTGAACTACTCTGGCCAACGCCAAGCTGTCCTCACTTATACCATGATGACCTGGATGCCCAACAAAGCCAGCATCATTGGCCCCAAGGGGATAATCGAGGTAAGTCCTGGACCACATGGAGAAGGGGATACACTTTGCATCTTCCTGGAAACAAAAGGAAGCTTCAGGAGGATCACAATCCAGGATTCCTTAGGCTCTTCTAGGGACCTAACCTCATCCCTTCCTGGCCAAGAGGGTAAGGAAGGACGGTTTGGGTGGGTGAGGGTAGGACAGAGAAAAGCACACATACACACACACATATGTGTATCTGGAGACCGTGGAGTTAAAACAACAACAACAACCACCGGGTTGAAATTTATTTAATTTGCAAATTTTGAACTGAATGGAAGAATCAGTTTTTGACCTATGTGCAAAATGTTGTGGAAAACATAAATGTCAGCATAAGCACAGCCTGGAGCTTCCCTCCTGGGAAAGTTTGAGCCCCATAACTATATCTTTACAAATGAATTGCCCAAAATAACCCCTTTCTGAGAGCTCTAAGGCCTGTTTTGGTATATGCTTCCTCTGTGTTCGGCAGATTCCCAGTCCCTTCTGGTGCCCAGAAGAGTTGGTTGTCAATGGACAGAAGGAAGAGTTTCCTCTTCCTCATCCTTCCCAAAAACTGTACTTCGTCAACTCCACTGGCCTGTGCTATGAAGCAGAACACGTCAGGCAATGTCTCCTTCAAGGTAAAAGTCTTGGGCACTCTTGGGCGGACTGTGCGCAGCAGCAGAGCATCCTGACTTATTCTCCTTTCTCTTTCCTCTCCCGCAGGCCTGAAGGAGAGCCCCATCATGTCTCATGGAGACAGCGAGCTTCTCCACTCTATCCTGGATGAAGTCCGTAGGCAGCTTGGGGTGTCCTATCCTCAGGACCAGACATGACCCATTCCAGGCTTGATTTCAGTGGCCTCGCTCATACATGCGAGGCGGCAGCTAAACCAGATTTTACTATTAAAAACTCTAGTCTGGTGGGTGGATTTGCAACAAATGTTGATTGTAAGCTTTGGAATAAAATGTAGTTAGATGCGAAGGGGACGTCTGCATATTATGTGAACCTCACCCGCCATGAGATGTCAATTTAACATTCTGTAAATAGAAGCCTACAATTTGTTGTGTTTTGCCTTTTTATGAGTTTTGTAGCCTCTCAATTTTTTCTCTCCAAATTTGGCATTTTAAACTTAAGGTTTGGAGCTGGAGCAGGTAAAAGATCCGACTCAACCCAAACAGGAGTTGCAGGTAGCATCAATCAGCTGACCAGTAGTGCCAGTAAAGACCTGGGCTTCGTAAACCCCAACCAACTGATCATCAGGTCTTGTAAAGCATGGAGCCTCTATGACCCGAGGATCAGCAGATTGCACTTGCCAAGTGCTAAGCATGGGGCTTGCCAGGTCCTCTGCATAGTGATCTGCAAGCGCTGACCATGATTGTCAGCATTTAGCAGGCTGTGCCTTTGTCCACATGGATTGTGCCAGTATGAAGACAAAGCTGATATGCTTGGTTAGAGTTTAACCATTGCTGACATGAATTAATAATGTTAAAAAAGCTGAGTGTCTGCCCCTCTCTCTGCCAAGCGGTGGCAAAAGCCCATGGAGCCCCAGGCACACACACAGGATCTGTGTCCCTTTGGAGAATAGAAGACACGACATGGTTTATTCACCTATTTACACCTCCAGTCTGCATGGAGGGAGTCCAGATCTTACACGGCCCACAGCAGTGCAGGAAACTTTTTGTCTCCCTTTCCAAGATGGATCTCAGCCCTTCTTCCTCCTTCTCTCTCCCAGAAACCCCTTGCTTGAAAACTCCTCTTTCCTGTCCTCTCAGTTGGATGTCATTCTAGTGTGAATGCTTTGAATAATTTCTTTTATGTAATGCACAGGTGGAAAATTGAAGCCCCCCCCCCTTCCCAACTTTAGTGTTTTCTGCTCTGGGACATTTTTGGGGTCCAAAAATGGGTGGTTGGTTGAAGGACTCTGAGTGAGAGGTAGGGAAGGGAAGACCTCCCAAGCTGAGAGACTGGGAGGGTCCACCACTTTCTGTGTGAGACAAGAGCTACCTTTGAGAGAGGCCTCGCCTTTTTTTCTTTTCTTTCTCTTTCTTTGTTTGTATTTAGATTAGTTTCTTTTATTGTACAGTGGTACCTTGGGTTAAGAACTTAATTCGTTCTGGAGGTCCGTTCTTAACCTGAAACTGTTCTTAACCTGAGGTACCACTTTAGCTAATGGGGCCTCCCGCTGCCGCCGTGCCGCCAGAGCACAATTTCTGATCTCATCCTGAGGTAAAGTTCTTAACCCGAGGTACTATTTCTGGGTTAGCAGAGTCTGTAACCTGAAGCATATGTAACCTGAAGCATCTGTAACCCAAGGTACCACTGTTTTATCAAAAAGTTTCTATCAAACTTGGCCACAGGTCGGGTGGGTTAAAGATCTACTGCACCTGACCTTGTCTGATGGTCAGCAGCAATCCAGAACGGCTGCCAACAGGGCAGAGGGAACAATTTTACCTGGAGATCATGCAGATTGAATCTGGAACATGTTGCATACAAAGCAGCTTCTTTACCACTGATCCACATTGAAGCCACCTTGGGAATTCTGCAGACACACTAGGTGGGATAGCAAGTGACACGGAGGGGATCAGTAAACGCCATAAGGCAAGAACAACTGGGTTAAGTACTTAATTCGTTCTGGAGGTCCGTTCTTAAACTGAAACTGTTCTTAACCTGAAGCACCACTTTAGCTAATGGGGCCTCCTGCTGCTGCCGCGCCGCCGGAGCACGATTTCTGTTCTCATCTTGAAGTAAAATTCTTAACCCGAAGTACTATTTCTGGGTTAGCAGAGTCTGTAACCTGAAGCGTCTGTAACCCGAGGTACCACTGTACTTTGCAATATAATAAAGATTTTTTAAAAATGAAATAAAAGACTAATTAATAAGCGTGACAGCTCTAATGCGTTACAACAAGCTGAGGGTGGGGTGGGGAAAATGAGGCCCAAGAAAAGACGCCTCGCTCCCGGTCTAACGTCGGAGGTTGCTCCAATACGCAAAAGGCGTTAGAGAGGCGAGGCTGCGTTCGACGTCATCAAGCCCGGCCGACGAGGGCGGCGTTCACACTGTAGGCTTCGCCGCGCGGCCTTGTCCGTCGACGTCATTTCCGCCCCTGCGCTTTCCGACCTTTTTCGGTAGCAGCCGGAAAGGGTAACCCCGCGGCGTGCGCTGGGCGGAGCCTCTTTTTCGTTCGGCCGCCGAGGAGCAGCCATGGCGGAGCCAAAGGTGCGGCTGATTCTGAGGGGTTTTCGCTTGCTTTTCTCGGAGGCTAATGGGCAGGGAGGCCGCTGGGAGGGAGGGCGGCGGGCCTCGTGCTGGGCCGCATCCTGCCTCCTCCTTCCCTGCCGTCGGCTGGTGGGGATGAGGCCAGGAGGGTCGGGGGGGCCCCTGGCGTGGAGGGAAGCGCGGCCTGGCGGGTGAGACGAAGCTGCCGCGTTTGCGTGCGGGGCCTGACCCCGGGCCGGGGCCTCGGACGGGATTAATCATGCTGATGATGCGCCCGTGTGGAGTGGCTCCCCGTCAGCGCGGACTAGCCGCTTGGATGGGGATACATATGGACCGCGTGGTTCCTGCAAGCGGGCCTCGTCCCCCCATCACCACGTTGCTGTGTTCCTTCTTTAATCGGAAGCAACATCTACGGAGGACTTGACATTTTCAGGTTTATGTTGAATGGAAGGAAGAATCGGGGGTGTTCAACGGCAATATATATAATCATTTAAGGTTACTTTTTAATACTTAAATGTAAATCGGTAGGCTAGGTATGAAAAAGAAAGAAAAAATGACCAGGTACAGGCCAGTCTTGCTCATCTGGAGTGAACAAGCAGCGGCGCTCTGCACCACCACAGTCTCTTTCTCTCTGTTTTAAATGTGGCGGCACATCTTTTTCCAGCAGGATTGCTTCTGTGCAGGATCCCAGGCAGAAACCTGTACTCTTTTTCGGGATACCGTATTGCACTTTTCCTCTCTGTTCTCTCTCTCCTGGCCCCACTCTTCCCATGCTCAAGCCTTTGTGCATCTGAAATGCTGTAGTGCCTCTGAGCAAGCCAATATCTCCAGCTCAGTTCTCATTTTACCACCATTTCTGTTGCTCCTTTCCACCAGTTTGCTATTATAGAGGGTTATAATAAATTTAAAAAATAACCAGTAGCACCTTAGAGACCAACTAAGTTTGTTCTGGGTATAAGCTTTTGGGTGCATGCACACTTATAAGGTGCTACTGGACATTTTTATTTATTTATTTTGACTGCATCTGACCAACATGGCTACCTACCTGAATATAGAGAGTTATAGCTTGTTACACAGGTTCTCAGGGTGTGTACAAAGTGGGGCTAACTGTACAGCTATATAAGAAGCTGGTGTGGGTGAAAAGGAAGAGCCAATAAGGTAAAATCCTAGTGCAGCAGCAGGCACAATATTGCAAGAATAGCAGCTTTCACAGTAAGTTTGGCTATGCAGGAGAGAACTGGCATATAAGGATGCAGAGGTACTTGGTTGGGAAATATGAACCAGACTACTATGCAGTGTGATAGGACTTTGTTACATCATGGATTGAAGTAAGCCAAGCAGAAACCCTGAAACTTCATCTGCTGATTTGGAAGGGTTGGGGAAACCCCATGGCTTCACTCGAGACCTTTATTATTGCCGTAGCATTAACATTTACTTGGACTAATAAAATAATTTGTTTTCTCCCCCCTCGTTTTCTTTATCAGCTTACATGGCCCCCAACTAAAACTCATTTCTTTCTCCAGGTATTGGTGATTGATGGACGTGGCCACCTGCTGGGTCGTCTGGCTGCCATTGTGGCTAAGCAAGTCTTGCTGGGTAAGATTCAGTTTCAGAGGGGAAAAGGCTCAACCTACTGAGTATGACTGGCAGGCAGAGGATACACAGTTTTCTGTGCTAACAATTCAGCTCCTTCTGATATACTTTGGGGTAGATTGTGAGGATGTTTGTTTTTTGAGTCTTGCAACTGTGATAGCAAATTCTTTTGCTCTGGGAGTGCTTCAAACTTAGATTTCTCAAAGGATTGCAAAGTGAATGTGGCCTTTCAGATTAAGAGGCATAGTTTCTAGTGTAGAGGATGATAAACCTTTTTCTCTCTTGAGGGTTACATTCCCTCAGAGGTATTTACTGGGGGGTGCATGCCAAGTAGGAGAATCAGACGATAAGGAACCAGGGTTCTGCTGCTACTCCCCAAATGCTATTAACCTTGTTACGTGGTGTGTTCTGAACTGTGGCTGTGCTGGCGGGCACTAAGTTGCCAAAGCCTGGGGTAGGGGCTCAACCTAGGTTCTTATACTTGAGATGCATGTGCTGTTACATTGATTTGTGAGGGAAGATCCATGTGATTTCTGAGCTTGGCCAACTTTGGAGCACACAGCTGAGAAGGAGTGGGATGTCTGTTGTGTACTAGAATAATGGGCTCAGCTTGCAGTTTTCAAGTCTCATGCTAGGGGCTGGGAAACATGAGATTACCTTGTCTGTAGCAGGCAGGTAAAGTATTGAGTTCCTCTTCTGAACTTTAGTGTCCAGCCTGTGCTCTGTGGTGAGGACACAGTCTCAATTTGCACTCTTTCCTCTCCCCTTCCCAGGGCGCAAAGTGGTAGTCGTGCGATGTGAAGGGATTAACATATCCGGCAACTTCTACCGTAACAAACGTGAGTACCATAGCAGATTTTAAAATCTGTCTAAATGTCTGGCTAGGGTTCTTGTTCTACTGTTGTCTCTCAAAGTACTTGCATTATGTTGTGGACAGAATGTTTCTCCATGCCTATAATAAAGCAGTGTCTCCATCTGTGACAAGCACAGCCAATCCTTCAGTCTTTGAGGCTGAACAATCTTATCCCCTACAAGGCTGGGAAACATGTGGTTCTTTAGATGTTGTTGGACTCCAGTTCTCATAATCTCTAACCATTGGCCATGTAGGCTGGAGCTGATGGGAGTTCAAGTCCAGCAGTATCTTGAACATTGCAAGTTAACCTCCCCAGGTG